TGAACTTGTAAAAGAGTTATGGCTGAAACATGTAAACAATAAATCAAGATGTAGACTGAAATTAGGAAAGAAAGATTTTTTTGAGAAAACTAGACTCAAATAAAATAATACTTCTATTTTAAGAAAATTTTAAAAAACAAATTTAATTGTGACTAATCTGTCACCTTAGCCAAACTATAAAAGAACTAAAGAAAACTATGAATTAAAAAAAACCAAAAAGAAAAAGAAAACAATAGAATGTGAAGTGTGGGATGCTAGAAACAAAAACTAACCTCCCCCTTTATAGAGGTGAGTTTGGCTAAGGGGTAAATACAAGCTCAAAGTTTTAATTCTATAAAAACTCTAAAGATTGAAGCTATCTTAATCTTTAAAGAAGGTGGTCGAATACGATCCCTTGTTTCTTAAATCATCTTGGCTAAACATGCTACCTTTGGAACTCATCTTGGGTGTTGGATCATAGAGTGCTTCATCTTTATCTTGCTTCTTAGTAAGTTCGGCTAGGGCTTGCAATCTAAGACTAGGTATTTAACTCTCATCCAATCTTTTGATAATTATCATGCACAATCATTCTTTAATCATAACTTTTTAAATGGATGATCAAAAGAATCATTCTTGAAGACAATTTGCTTTGATCGAATGTCTCCTAGAGTTTTGACTTGCATAGAACTCTTAAATTATCACATGTTTACATGAAATCCTATTGTAAATGATGTAGCTAAATACATTTAGGTGTCTTCATGTTATCATAACTCTTACTTTAAGTAAAATTTAGTAGTTCTGCTTCAAGTCTAATTCCATTCCATCATTACATGTTTGTCTTAAATTTACAAGGATAATGCTTATCTTGATCTTACGTCATTTATTGCATGAAAATGAAAGAAATTCTACTCCACATAGAAAAACTTAAAGATAAAAAAAAAAAAAACATTAAATGCACCAAAATCAATCAAATTTAAAATTTTTTCACTAAATTGAACTTACAAATCACTATATATTTAAGTGCTATCATTCACTTTTTGTAAAAAAACTTTCTAGTTGTTTGCGATTTGAACTTTAATTTTATTAAATTCGTTACGTTTACAATTAAATACTATCCCTTCTTGATTCAATGCCCGTTCTTCCTAATACCCCACAACAAAGAGCAAGTATTATAACTAGTGTATTTTATGATGAAAATTATATGTCAATTGGATATGAAATAAACTTTAAAAATTAGTAAAACTAAGAACTTAAGGAAAAAAATTAATTCCAATTATATATAGTTTAATTAAAATCATGAGCTAATGATGGGTATTTGATTAAAAAAAATATAATTCAATCTTAACTACTCTTAGAAAGTAAGTTAAAAGCACTTGTTAGCAATTTAAAAAAAAAAAAAAAGGAAAAACTCAACAAATCAACCTAGAGAAAACATAAGTATAAAGGAAAAAAAAAGGATAGTTGCAAGAATATTTAAAAAAAAAAAAAACTACCAACAGCACCTTACTTAGAGCATTTCACTTCACACAACTCCCTAGAACCAAGTGTCGTGGACCTCCAACTAGAAGCAGCCTCAATTTCTTTGTTTGTCCTACGCCTACCACCTTAACCTCGTGTTATGCTCCTCAATTGAAAAAATATAGCTTTTTTTAATGGCCCATTGAACAATGTTAAATGAACCTTTTTGGCTCTTTTCACACGTCTCTTTAATAGTTATATACCAAAAAAAAAGACAATTGTCTTCGAATTCATACATGTTTGCTTGTGGAGAAGAACCAAAAAAAAAAAGAGTTGCGGTATTCCATATTTTACTTTATTTTTCTATTGAATAATTAAATAAGTGTTTGAATCTTGAGGATCAAGATTCAAACCATTCCTCAAAAACCAAACGTGCAATTCAAACAACCCTATATAACATTCATTTTTCATCTATTCCAAAATCATCCAATAACTCGTAATGATTGAGGAAGTAAATATTTTACATATTAAACTTCAAAATATTTATTTTATATTTAATTTAATTAGACTTACTCTCATATTTTTATTTAAATTTATTAATGAACAATACAATTTCAACCTTCTTGAATCTCTCGCTTTTTAGCATTTCTCTTTGTATTATTGGGGCAATGGAACTTGTGCATCAAACATGGTCAAATTGTTTGATAATTGAAGAAGTCAATTTTTTATGCAAAAAAGGGGGTTCTTCTAATATTATTTTTTCTTCCCCATCATTTTGTTTCCCTTTTTTATGCCGAGACTTTGTTTTAATAAAATGTTGGTCTATTCATGTATGTTATGTTATATGTGATTTAAAAAAAAAAAAACTAATTAAAATACAAGAATTAATGAAGTTTTGACTTAATGATAAAAAAATCTAAAATCTTAAAATTTTAAATTTAAATTTTATTGGGTAAATTTGATTCAATCTTATATTAGATTTATTTAATTTATTAATTATTTTAATTATTTTATAAATGTAATAATTACTTATATTTATAATTATTTACTTGCAATTTTATAAAAAAACATTAAAAATACAACTACTAGCTGAGTAATAAACATGAACTGTCAAACAAAAAAAAAAAAATTTTGAGGATCAAAGTTAGTTACACGTTCCAAGAATAAAATGTTGTAAAATTTAAGTCATATTTGATATATAAAATTATTGACAAGATAAGATGATAATTATCTTATATCGTATTTGATTGATATCTAAAGAAATATATACATACTGTAAGGAGAATTAATATTTTTTTATATAAAATTATTCAATTTTCTATAAGTAAAAAGATTATTTTTAATATATAAAAATTAAATTTATATGTTCAATTATATCATTAAAAATTATATCAATAATTTAAATTATATAAATTTTTAAAAAAATAATTTTGATAAATAAATAAATTATTTTATCTTAATATTTGTATACATTAAACATAAAATAAAATAATTTAATTTTATTTTATTTTATTTATAATATTATTTTATTTTATTTTATTTTAATCTTATGTACTAATTATATCCTTTGAACTTAAAAGGAATAAGGATAAGATGTTGTAAAAGTTTTATATGAATTTAATTCAGTCCATCAGTTTCAGAATTGGACAACAAATTCCAGTGTTAAATGACGTTAACAAAAATTATAAAATTACTTAAATATTTATATACATGTCACCTTCTTAACAAATAAAATAAAATTAATAATCTATCCTGAAAAAAAAAAAAGCAAATTAGAATAAAAAAATAGAAAATTATTTTTTCATTTTAACTAAATTGGATTATTTTTAATTTTTTGAAAAATAATAATTAAAAAATAAATTCAAAATAATTTGTTCATTTTTTTCAACAACTCCTTAATCTTTTATTTATTTTAACTGTTTTGAAAACCCAAAGTCATAAGTCAAAATCAAATAATCAAAATAAGATATCAATTTTTATCCTAAAAACTCGAAATCAAATACTCATTTTTTATCATTACTAGCATACACAAATCCAACTGGAAACTACCATCCCATTAACGATAACCATCACCAAATTTACAACCCAAAGCCACCATTACAAAAAAAAAAAAAAAATGCCATTTCTTTTTTTGCCCAAAAAAATGCATAACATAATCAATAGTCAGCACAAAAACAATTGAAAGAAAAAGACAAGTGTTCAAAGTTTTGGTTTTGAGAGTTCAGGATTTTGGACGGGTAGAAGATGGGGGAAACATAGGAAAGAGAGGCAGAAATGTCTGTTTGTGGTGGCTCCAATCGGTGGAAACTGAGGGAAGGACTTAGTGTTTTGGTTTTAGGTTGATTTGAAGGGGAGTTTTGAGGCATTTTAACCGTGGGGGAGATGGAAGAGCGTCAGCAAAGGTGTTTGAGGCAGATCATGACTTCTAATGCGGCAGAAAAGGGCTTTTTCGATGGAGAAGCCACGACCTTTTAAACTAGACCTAAGCTTTCTAAGATGATTTTGGAAAATCTAATTGGATAGGAGAGGAGGAGATCAAGAGGAATATTTGAGCAACTTTTGGCGTAATCCGGTACCGGTGAGAAGCGGCAGAAATAGCGATAGCACGTCGAAAACTAGAAAAGAATAGCTGTGGCCATCCTCCTTTGATTTTCTTCCTTTGTAAAAAATCCCAATGTTTTTTTTGTTATTTTTTCACAATTAAAAAGGGTATTATAGACTACTAAAATGGGGCACATGCTTGGGCTGACGGAATTATTAACAGATGTCGGACCTATTTGTTTTATCAATTAGATTTTTTTTTTTTTTTGACGGGATGTCCAATATGAAATTAATGGATTGGAAATGAATTAGAAACGAATTTCAAGGACGCGGAAGAAATTTATTAAAATACAATTGCTAATGAGATTTTAGTTTAGTAATAAAAAAGAAATCTTAACATTTTGAAGTTTTAGATTTAAATTTTTTCATGTTGGATTTGTTTAGTTCGGTAGTTGATTTAGTTATTTTTTATACATAGATGTAATAGTTATTTATATTTATAATTGTTTTACTTATAATTTCATTAAAAAGGTTAAAAATGCAACTACTAGTTGAATAATAGATACGAACTATCTGGCAAAAAAAAAAAAAAAGAAGGAACTGTGGACCAAAGTAAGGTACCACGTTCTAAGGATAAGGCGTTGTAAAATTTAGAATATAGGTTTTCCAATCCAAGTAGACCCAATGCCCATACCACATAAGGGAAAACAATTGTATGCTCAAAATTCATTTCTCCCATTCCAATCAGACTTTGCCCATACAACATAAGGTTGAGACATGCTTTCACCGCATTAGAAACCAAGATGAGCAGCCCTTAAAGCCTTCTTCTTTCCAAAAATTTGCAGCATCGATCTTGGTTTTAAAGTGAAACGACATCTATCAAGCAGGTAATGGATACAAAAGAGAGATCTTTATAAAGATTTTTTTTTTTCAAAACAAATTTTGCTTCCTAAACCTTGCTTGGGAAGCCAACTGATTAATCTATATTCCAGGTTGGATATGTTGTTTCGGCAAAGCAGATTGGAGAAACCTAATAATGATCACCACAAAATGAAAACTCAATGGCATTAGGTGAGCTGCTGATTGAACTGATGGTCTCAAAAACATGGGCCAAAACAAGCCTAACCACTAACCCCACAAAGCCCCCAAGCCACCAACCAGAAAGGAACCTGTGGAGATACACCTTTGGCTCTCGCCATTTATCTGGAGTCTTGACCCTTGACCTTGAAAAGTTTCACCAATTGAAACACTCAAAAGAAGTGAGGAGCACAAAATCCTAGTCTCAGTTGGGATGGTCTGGTTACTTCATTGACAAGTAAAGAGAAAGTGAGCATGAAACTTTGGAATCTTACAAAGTCCTAGTCTTCTTTTCTTTTAGATCATTCCTTGTCTTTGTTTCCCAAGACCAATAGACACGGTAAACGACAGCTATAAATAAAGATAAAGAACCCTATGACCTCCAGGAGTGTCGACAAAAGCTTATAAATGAAAGGGAGGTCATGTGAAAATCAACTCAAAATATAGTGTCTATATCTCCTGTGTGGAGCATCAGATTTTGGCTGTTTCATAGTTACATAAGCTACCAATCAAAATGGCATAAAAGTCCCAACTCTTAAATAATCAAAAGAATAAAGACCAGCCCTAACAAAGGCTTCACCATCAGGTGAATGTATCACTGTAAAATCAATGACTTCAGCATTGTTTCAAGTTACATGTAGTGACTCCTACAACAGTCAACTTCAAACCTCAACTAATGCTACTTTCGGGAGGAATTGCTCAAGATAATCAAATATTTGAAATTTCCTGGTGCTTTACTTGAGAACAATAGGCTGTTTGAAATGACTGCATACATCTATGTTAATGAAACCCTTGGTTGGATTTAACATGTTTTGAAGTTAAATGAATCTTCGTGGATTCAAAGACAGATGAACTGCCACTAGGAAAATCTGTTAACAACACCTTTCAAGGTATTTCTTTTGACTCTCCTTTAGCTACAACGTCAGCTACGAAGATGCTACCCGAATCACACCATCCGCCAAGTATATCCCTGTTAGAGCACTGCAGCATCAATTGACATAAACACCAGTTAAATAACATTCATTCAATGGTAACACCAGCTAGAAACAGTTTAAATCAACGCAGACATAGGAAGAAAGGATACAATCTTTTTCGAGATTACATCCATCTTTGACATTTTTAAAGAAAAATATCTGGGTTGACTTGCTAAGGATGAAAAGGCATAACATCACTAAAAGAACTAAACAAAGTTATTGTAATTACTAACAACAACTGCATGATAGAAGAAGGATAAAAATATTTAAAAAGAAAAAGTCATATTGGTCTTGTTACTAGGCAATAAAAGTCATTAAGACCTCACAGCACTCAGGTTTTCAGCAGAGAACAGATGACAGATGATCTTACTGTTACTCTTTGGGCCAAGATGAGCCTTGGGGCAAATCAAGACGGAGTTGCATGGTCAGTATTCGACCCCTACAATGGCCTACAATGACCAGCATGTCTCTGTCTCTGCTAGTGCCAATATTCGGGGAGAAAAAATAAAGACATGTCATGCAGAATTTACAATTAACAAAATACCTTACTGAATCCCAGCCAGTTTGAGTCTCCTCTAAATGAGAATACCTTACTGCTTTCTTGCCACTGACCACAAAAGACCTGCAAACAGTCCTTATGAGTCAAAAGCAATGCAGGAAGGAACTTCACTCTTACAAAGTAAACTACTCAGCATGATAAAAACTTGCCATCATCCTTGCCAGATAACTACTGCATAAATTATAGAAACTTAAGCAGCCATCTATTACATTAAGTTACTTAAATAGACACTTGGCACTGAAGTTCAAAGAAGTATGATTCACTGCTCTAAAGATAGCATCCATATCCACAAATGGAAATAAAACTGTCCACTAAGTTTAAAAGCGGTCACCTCATAGTCAACCCCTTGTACATAGATGTAATTGGAGTCAAGAGACGAGAAAGCAAGTCTGGTAATCTGCATTACCAACAGAAAAGGAAAAAAAAAATTATGTGGCTGCAGTAGACATACAATGATACTTCTCTAGCAACAACAAAGCACTGAGAACTTAAGGATGAAACATGTAATCAAACTAAGTGTTTACTCCCACCCTAAATTTGGCATTGATGTCAAGTTGAGCAGGTTAAAAATGTATTTAGTCACAATATTTCCATCTCTGGGCTGATAAATATTTCCTTGTCTGCATCTAGATAATTTAAATAACTGGTGAGGTTGCTAAATGAAAGAATTCAAACCTCAAAAGAATGAAAGTATGGTAGAAGGCACTAAAGAAATAAGCACATTTGAACAAGACAAATTGTTTTCAGGACTAGTTTCATATCATTTGACTATATAAAACATGAATTATTCAATGAAGCTCGATCCTTAAATAGTGCAGGATCCATTACATAAAATCAAGCTTAAAAAGCCCAAGATAAAAAAATTCTGGACCACACCTTTTTGAAGACTAATGCTCTTTCTAACCATATTTCCAGTGTCTAATAACCATTTTCTACAGTGAATAGACCAGACCCATTCTCTACACTTCTTGGGATAACTGTTTTGTTGCATAAAATCCTGAATTATGGGTTCCCAGAGAAATTTAGTAGTAGATTTTAACATCAGATCTGGAGTAATGTAACCAGGTTAAGGTGGAATCTGTTCAGTAATCTGTTTCTTCTTACGCATGCACTTTCAATTCAAAGCATTTAGAACGAACAAATACCTAAAGTAACAGGGATCTTCAGGTCATTAAAATAACCAAAAAGAAAAGGATATAAACATCAGCTCTTTCAAAACCATAAACCATCACTTTCCATAGAATCAAAGAAATAAATTGCATGGAACCATCTACATCATAATTGTTAAAGCAGTTATGTCAATGGCAAATCTTCAAGCTTGATATATGCATTTTAATTTTAAGACAACTTGTAGAAACTAACAGTTTTATAAGGAAAATAGATTCTATAGACAAGAATAAATTTATTTCTCCAGCATAGTTGAGCGACCTTAAATTCAATGATAAATGAATGAACTACAAGAATATTTTATTCTTGACTAAATGGTATTGCAGCAACAACTAGATCTGTTATTGAATAAATTAATATGGTATGACAAAAGAACCCAAAACAACAAACAACCAGCAAGGAAAATTATAAACAATTAAGTAATAAGTTACTTAACAGACATCTAAGATCAATGATAAATGGATGAACAACTACAAAAACATTTTATTCTTGACTAAATGGTATCGCAGCAACCACTAGATCTGTTATTGACTACATTAATATGGTATGGCAAAAGAACCCAAATGACAAAACCAGGAAGGAAATGTCGTCAAACAATTAACTGACCTCATATTTTGAACAGTGCACCAACCTGGAAAGTGCTGACCATCTACACAGAAGAAGTAAATTAGTACAGTATATTCTCATTGTGTTTAAGATGAAACATTCCACTAAATTTTCATTGAATCAGTGTACACAAGCCAATCAGAGGATATAAGTCCATTTCCTAGATTAAGTTAGGAAAAGGATATAGGATTAAATATTCTTAGATTTAACCCTCCATTGGGATTTTCATAAAAATGATTAAGAGTAGGATAAAATAATTGCCATATCAGTCCATGATAAAGATAAAACTGGAAGAGAGATAAATGAATTTTATTTCTGACCAATCTTAATACTCCATTCTATATCAAATATTATTTCATCTCTACTCCCTTATCAGAAGATAAATTCTAACATAGAGATCATACTTTAATGGATTTGTTTATGACTTCAATTAGCAATTTATGGAGCTCAAATTTGCAAAAAACAGAGAGATATATGAAAAATTTGCAAACAATATGCAGGAAATGGTAAATAGCAGCCCATCAGAAAGAAGAATCAGCATCATAGAAAAATATGTCTGTGTGCCCATCTATGTGGCCTTCTCTACAAGCAGGCTTTGTTAGCTCTACTGCAGTCACACCAGCTGAACTTACTCCAACTCCCTTCTCAGTTGTCTAATCTAGTACAACAGATCTTCTCCCAAATTAACCCTCCTCTATAAATATGTATCAAACACATCATTTCGTAAAATTCATCGATGTAGTCCTTAATCCATCTATAAATGCACCCTAAGTTAAAATGATATTATCATCTAGAAGACAAAATTGCTCATTATTGCATCATTCACCCATCATCAACATGAATAAATGAGGCAAAACTAATTAGACTGCGTTATTGTGTATTTACTTTGTTAAAATGTAAAACCAATATATATAATGGTGACCAACCTGCGGGGATCATAGATGGTCACAGTACGATCAGCACCACCCACTGCGATGTTACCAGTTGAAGAACTGCAGACAGCATAAAAAGAATCTCCAACAGAACCACAAATTCGATTTAGGCAACCACCATTTTCTTTCATTCTCAAGTCCCATATAGACAGCTACAGTAATTGCAAAAATAAAGCAGAGCCATCAGATTAAAACACATTGAGAAACATAAATATAATAAATGCATAATTATATACCTGGCAGCCTTCAGTTATGGCTAACATAGAATTCTCATTCCCATTACCCAAATTCTGCATAAAGTTTATAGAAGATGGATACCAAAGGCTGAAAGGTAAGCAAACAGTTAATAAAAAATGTCCATATAGAAATTTCCAAATATTAATAGCATATAATAAGTTTTTTTTTTTTCTTCTTCTGAGGAACTTGAATCTTCTATATTCTATGAACAGCAAAATTGTCAGGGGTCATTATGTAGACAGCAGAAGTGTCTATTTGTGTTGGCATTCCATGATAGATCAAGAAAATAGATATGAGGTTCTTAGCAACACTGGTTTCCAAGCAGCTGATAGAGAGAGTAGGAAATTCACATGACCACAGAAACTTTTATAACCTGTCAAGCCTGCAATTGAGACAATCATAATACTCATCTTTTGCATCCATGCACCTCTAGAGCATAGAAGATACTATTTGGATGGTACCCCAGTGAGAATTTAATGCAAAATTTTGAGTCCCCTACTTAGGATGGGCATTGAGATGACCTTGTACACATGCTAATATAATGTAAAAGATAGATTGGACAGATATAAAACTCACGTATGCAAAGTTCGAAGATGGATGTCCTGGTCATAAATATCAACACTTTTGCAGAAGCTTCGCGCCACAGCTGCCTGGATTAAGAAATAAGTTAGTGCAAAGTGAACACCTAATTTGTAGTAGAAATGCTTTAGTGCATTAAGTGTTGATCCTGAAGATGTTTAAAACTAACATGTCCTATGTGTGAGAACACAACATAAGATTTAAAGCAGATTTCCTTCATGTATGTCACTGCAGTTCACAAGTTCATTGCCGTGAATGTAAAATTCAAAACCCCAGTGGCTTTGACTATAGTGTGCAAAATCAAGTATCCTTTTAGATAACATGCCCTTAAGAAATGAATAAAATTGATACGGTTATCAAAACAGGGGACCAGAAATTTTAACATCCTATAGAATTTTATTAGTTTCAGCTTTCCTATGAAGGAACACATACCATGGACCATTGATCTGGACTGAAGCAAAGCCCAGACCAACTACCTTCTCCAACACCAAAATCCCGAGGCAACACCGAATAGGTAATCCTGTCAACATCTGAAAAATTCAGCAGTAGACATTGATAAGACACCTTAACTATACAAAATGAAAATTTTACAAACAAAATGATATAAAATCCACCAGAAAAGAAAATAATTTACATGTTGCAGAGGCAGGACAACGATTAGTTGTTTCTTTTTCCCCCTTTCCCATTATTATAAGGGGTATGACCCTAAGATATTTGGACATGTCAGACAGCAGAAAGCAAATAAAGAAAGACTCTACTCAGGCCAGCCCCATTTTGATGATCAACCAGAACTACTAGTTAGGTAACTGAAGTATTTCCTTAAAGAAAGGGTTAAGGCTAAACAACTGTCATGGTATGGAAGTCATGAAAACTACTCAAGAAAGCCCTAACTCCTAAGAGAAAGTGTGAAACTTTTCGTCACTTTTGAGTTAGACGTGCCTGCACCCAAAAAAAAATAAATATATAAATAAACTTCCAAAAGAGTCAAACAGTTAAAATGAGTAACATACAGCTGGTAAATTGTTTCACATAAAAGGAGGGGACGCAAACTACTAGTTTTCCAAATATGATGAAGAATATGCTAGAAACTTTCTACCATCAAACCTACACTCAAATAGGATGATATGAGTGATAAATAAGGGGGATTTACCTTTACCACTAGTGTCCAGTTTAGAGACAATAAGATGACCATAAGCATCCACACTTCCCAATACTAAGTAACCAGTGCCTGCAGACATTGCATCACAGTTTAAACAAGTGTAAAAACAAACAAGGTTTCTTGAAGAAAGTTTGATGGAGCAAAATCAGCACATAATATCAATCTGATCCAAAAATCTTAAAAGGATTTTCCCTTAGGGGGCATTTGGTTCATGGAATCTAGGATTCCGGGCGAAAGTGTGATACCCGGGAAAATGTGATACCCAGGGGAATATTTGATTTTCAGGGCATCTTGTTTTCGGATTCCTGTGTTTAGTTGGGGGGAATGTCCATTTATTAAATCATGTATATTGACCATAATCTCCTTGACAACCTTGTAAAAGACCTTTCATTTTGTTTTAAAAAAGAACCAAACGACAAATGATGCCTTTATCATCAATTGAAATAGAAAGATTTTATTTATTTTTAAATTAAATATTCTCAATTACGGCATTTAATTACACATTATGCCATAATTTAGTATATAAAATATACAACCCTTCAATTACGGCGTTTAATTACACATTCTGCCGTAATTGAACCAATAAAAATATAAAACTCCTCAATTATGGCGTTTTATTTAATAAACTCCGTAATTGATATGATTTAAGAATTTCAAGTATTATTTATCCCTCTTTTCCTTATACAAATGAAGTTTAATTGTTTACACTTTTACATGAAAATGAAGCAACTAGCAATTATATACTGAAGTTTTTTTTTTTTTCTATGAAATTCAAGCAAGATCTGCTCCCCAAAAGCTTTCCATCGAAAGTTGCAAAGTAAATAAAGGTCTTCTTCATGACATCCAATCCCACTAACCTACCTGTAAAATCAGCCCAGCCTGCCTTGCTTGTTCCCTCCTTCCCAAAACCCTACAAGCTACACCTGTACTTAAGTCTCTGTCTCTCCTTATTGCAGCCATTACTGAATATTTGAGAGAAGTCTGGGCAATTGGTTATAACTCAATTACAGCGTTTCTTCATTAAAATGCCGTAATAGCTTCACTTCCAATCTCAAATATACTCAATTACGGCATATGTTTAAGAGAAACGCCGTAATTGGCAGTTATAGAATATATGGGAAACCCAAAAAAAAACAATTATGGCATTTTGCTCAAAAGAAATGCTGTAATTGACCTAAAATAAAATTTAATTTCAGTTCAAAACTTATTTTTCAAAAGGGTAACATATATAGAGGAAATTTCTTATTCAGGTCAAATTTGGAAGTCAAGCAACTTTCCCCCGGAATCCTAAAATACCACAGGCAAAAATGGGTTTCTGATTCCGGGACCTTGGGTACTGTTGAGAATCTGACATTTTCCCTAAGAATCAGATAACCCTGAACCAAATGTGATAATCAAATACCCACAATCAAGATTCCAAGGGAAAATTTTTGGATTCTCTCAAACCAAACACACCCTTAGAGTTTTTTGGAGAATAAAATAATTCCTTATGAAGAAAACAAAAGGAATGATAACTTACCATATGAAGTAATAGAGAGCTACAAGGGAACATACAAAACAGGCAAGCAATACAGGAGCCAATGATACGTAGCATTTAAAATGATAGTATCATTAACAAATTAAACCACACCACTGCTACAAACACCTAAAATACTGCTGAACACAGTAAAACTTATGCAGATTTAATTATAAGTTCAAATGTCTGTATGCAAGTTAAAAAAACTAATGTTAGACCTTGAGTCCCCATGTTTTAATGGGAAATTAGTATTTTTTTTCTTTTTTCTAGTTTGCGAGGGGCAGTTAAATGAGCTGTATCAAACAGATGCCTCACTTGAACAAGATTTTGACAGTTTGTCTAAATGTTAAAATAAACACCAATATGCTAATGAGAGATATGAGATGTAAGCTGAGAACCAAAATGTTTTAAAGATCTAATAATTTCATCAACCACATGCGACATCAACCCTTTCTATCTCCATGCATGTGATGAAACTTGCTATACTATATTATCATGTACATCAATAAGATAAACGAAAAAGAGAATAACAATTCAAAATACAAATAGGAAAGATAGATCCCTTTTGGTCAAAATACAATCATTTGTACACCATTTTATATATAATATAGGCTATATAATTACATTTTATTAAGAAACGATCAATGGAAATATATACTAAATGTCAATGCAAAAGCCACTTACTTTCAATTTCAGCAAGTACAATACTCTGAATCTCTGAACGATGAGGGCACCGCTTAAGTAACAAAGAATCTATAACCTTCAAAATCATAGACGACAATAAGATCAATACATAATTAAATGAACAACACAAGAACAAGTTAATTTGGAGACCTTATTCGTCCTTCTGAGAAACATTATGAATGGCATGCAGCTAAAAGTCATAGAATGAGTACCTCTGTTGGCTCGGGAATAAGGAGGCCTTCTTTCCCTTTGCTAAGCCAAGAATCTTCCAGCAGAATCTACTTAAAATAATTATTGAAAAAAAAAAGGAGCTTGTAAGAAATTTATTCAAAAGTACCTGATACAAATAGAAATTTCCAAATTATATACATACCTGAAGTTTGTAGATGTTGCATCCGGAGGCGATGTAAACCCAACATGAGGAGCCAACCTCATTGACCTGACCATTGACCAAGAATTGGACAAAAAAAATACCCAACATTAAATACAGGGGAAAAAGTGGGTGTTAATGGTATCAGGTAAATGCAAGGAAATATGTAAAGAAAAAGAGGATACATGGAGAGCAAGGCGAGTGGACTGGAGGTTTCCAGGAGATGGGTTGTCTAGGAGTGTTGATGGCACTACCGCCTTTCTCAAACTCTTTGCTTCCAAGGTTGACCCCATTCTCTCTCTCTCTCTCTCTCTCTCTCTCTCTCTCTCTCTTTGGGTCTGCCGGGAAACACCAATAGAGTTGTGTTCGGGTTGGGCGAGTGTTTTGCTGTGATGGGAGAGAAGGGGAGCAACAGGAAAACGGAGATTTCGTCACTTAAAATGAGAGGTTTACCGAAGAGTTTAAGGTTTTAGATCAGGTGTTTTTCTTTTTTTTTTAATTTTTTTGGCGAGAGGTTTTAGATCAAGCTAGGGGTGCAGTTTAGTCGTCCGGAATGAATACAGTGAAGAGTTTGAAGTTTAGGTTTGATTATGAAATTTGTTCTAGGTTAGATTTATTTATTTATTCAATAAAAGAATTTTTAATTTTTGTATATAATTTTAAGATTGATTATTTGTTTTTGAACTTGAATTTAAATTCATATATATATTATATACGAGTGAAATAATAATTATTAAATAAATAAAAAATATATATCAAAATATAAAAATTTAATTATTTAATTTAAATATTAAATTATTTCAAATTCAATTTATTTGATAAATTAAAATATTTAAATTCGAATTTGATCAATAATAATTAAATTATCTTAATTAAATATGAATAATTTATAAATATTAATATATAATTTATAATCTTAAATTAGATTCACACCTCACTTTTGTTTTTTTTTTTTTTTTGAATTTATCTTTTAGATTGGATCCAAATTTTCATTTTTTTTTCTAAAATTAGATAAATTTATTTTATTTAAATTGGACTTGGACCTTCTACCCGAACAATAAAATAAAATACCCCCATAATAACTCATTTGAATTAAAATTTTAAAACAAAATCAACTTATTATATAATCATAAGGCATGAAGAAAATAAAAGCTCCATGTAAATATTCTCATTATCATATTGAGAAAGCAATAGTTATAGAACAATAGCAAGCTAAAGTGCTATGCTTTAGCAAAATAATGATACGCAATAAAGTAAGATAAAGTTTGCTATAAAGTGATTAATTTAAAATTTATGGTAATTTACATATAATAATTATATTATCTTATCTATTAGCAATTTAAGAATATGGTAATAATTTTAAATTACTAGAGTAATAAAATTACTATTTTGAAAGTGATTTAAGTCTCATTCAAAAATTTTTATCGTTATAAAAAAGTAATATTTAATATTATTTCTTAACTAATTTACTCTAATGATAGCAAAAATAAACACAGAATTCCCTTCGTATTTAGTCTTTATAAGCAAATCTTCACTATAAAGAAATCTTTACTGGATATGATTCATGACTTTTAGTATATATGATTAAGATTAACAAAATATTATGACTTTTTTATAATATTAAAATTATAACATTGAGCCATCCTTTGAGTATACATGGTTAACATTTTTTTTTTAATTTGTAAGAAAAATATTAAGTTATTTTTATTTATGAAAATTCAATGAAATTGCTTATTTTTTAATAAAAATTGAAATTTTTAATGAATTTAGTAATAAAGTTTTAATTCATTAGCTTATTTCATTTTATAATATACATGTACTCTTTTTGAAACGACTACTAAAAACAAAGAATTTATTTAATAATGTTTTTTTAAAATTATTTTTATTAAAATTGATTTATATTTTATAGTTTTCTATGAAATAATATATTGTTATTTTATAAATTATAAGTTTAGTAATAATAAAAAAAATGAATGCTAGTATGATTTAAGTTTGATAATAAAGTAGTATAAAAAAGTAATCATTTTTTATATTTGTCGTCAATTATTCAAAGTGATACTAAGAAAGAACATAATATAAATCATAAGATTCAAGCAAAATGGGTAAGGTAACGAAGTAGTTGAGTGTATTTTGTGACCTCAACATGCCTTTTAAGTTAAAAACGAAGTTATATAAATAATTGTAAAGCCAGCATTGTTATATGGGACTGAATGTTGAGCCATTAAGAAAACAACATGAGAAGAAAATTAGCATAGCTAAGATAAAGACGCTCAGATAGATGTATGGTAAAATTAAAAGAGACAAAATCAAAAATGAAATGATTCGAGGAAAATTAAGGATATTCTAAATTAAGGAAAAAATGAGAGATGGTTGTTGAAGATGGTTTGAACATGTGAAATGTAGGCTTATATGCGCACTAATTAGGAAAAATGAGCTTTTAGATTTAAGAAAAAATAAAACTTCTAAAGGTAGACCACGAAAGATGTAGATGCAAATAATAAGAAATTATATGAAAATTAAGAAAGTAGATGTAAAGATTTATTTTTATAGAAATAAGTGGCACAAAAAGATTCAAAACTATAACCTAACATGATCCCTTTTTTAGGCCTTTCATATAACCAACCTCAGAGTTGTGAGGTATAAGGCTTTATTTGTTGTTATTATTGTTGTTGTTATTGTTATTTTATAAATTGTTTATTCAATAAATATTAATTTTTTCTTTCTTTTTAAAGTTATTTTGGATATTTTGTACTTCATGATTTTGTTCATGTAATACCAAACATATTAATTTAATATCACTAATGATTTATAATATTGCATCAAACATAGTAATCTAAAATTATTCGTCTTATCACTATAATAAACGCTACCTAAGTATTGAAAGTAGTGGTGTTTATTTGATCAATTCAATTAATTTCGAATTGAATTAATGAAAACAAAATTAGTTTATTTTTCCTTTCATTAACCGTACAAAAATTGTTGGTTTCAAAAATTAACCTTTCAAATTTAATTCAGTTAATTAATTGAATTAATTGAGTTTGATCAAAATGTTTCTTATTTTTCCTAGAAAATTGCAAATAAAATATACAACTCTCAACTATGCAAACAAAGTATACAACCTTGCAAATAAGACCTAAAAAAGTTTCAAATTTCATCATTAAATAATAAAGCCAAAGTGAAAAAAAAAAAAGAGCAAAGAGAAATGAAATGTTCAAACAAACCTCAAGAATAACAAAGGCAACAAAAATAAGTTGATTGTCGGGTGTGCTTCTAGTGGCAATGTAAGCCTTTGAGAGTCGATTATCAAGGAGAAATGAAATAAAAAACAAAGACAACATAAATGAGGGCAACAAAAATGAAATCTAAGGCAGAGTTTTAAATGGGTGTCAAAAGAGATGAGGATAAGGCATAAAAATGACAATGAGGCATAAGCAAAATAAGGTTGGGTTTTTGTGAAAATAAATAAATATGCAACAATGTGGTTTAGTCTTTCACTATTTGGTTAACCTTTAGTTATTTTAGTTTTCAAACCGAATCAATCAAAAATTGAAATACACCCAATATCATTTTTGAAAATCGTCCAAAATTAATTCGATAATCAAAAAATTAACTAAAATTATTTGTTTCGATTGTTAATGCGATTTTAACCGAACTTTATTACACCTTTAGTAGAAACCAATTGGTGTACCATATCGATCACATCGATCTATCAAAAATAATTTTGAAAAAAATTGATACACCTAAATTTATATATAGTGTTGGTTTATATATCGATTTGTATCAGTTTGTGTTGATCTATATCAACCATTTCAATTATACCTAGTGATACAAAGTTTTACCTCTTTTTTTTCATTTATTTTATTTTTTAACCAATGTTTAATGTTCCCCCTCATATCATTTTTATTTTTTATAACTTCATTTCAAAAAACAATTTGTTCATTAATTAAACTATTATCTATTTAAATGTGAATAGACTAAGGGTTCATAAATAAACATTACTTAAATGTTTAAATTTTCAAAGTATATATAAAACACACATATTTAACATATCAGACCATAAAATATTAAAGTTTTTTATAAAAAAAAAATGTTTGACAAAATTTAAAGTATATGATAAACCGTATTATTGAAAAAGAAAAAAAATCAAAATATATGATAAACAATATAGTTTTAAATTTGTAAAATAATTATTGGGTGAAAATTAGGATTGTATAAATACTCATAAAATTAGTCAGTATTTTGTAAATCTAAAAGGGACATAATAATAAGTAATGAAAATTAAATTAAATTCTTTCCATTAACGTTATTATATAACAAACTCACCATACTTATCTCATTATGTTAACTTTGAATTAAACAAATGTCAAAAATGTTATTATAACATTTGTTCCTTTTTATAAATAAATATGATGATAGCAATAAATTGTTAAGGTGTTTTAAAGTTGTCTGATGTAGAAAACTATAAGAACATTTTAATGGGTCTCACAGAAATGGGTAAACTAATAAAACATGAATAATGATGACTAATAGGAATGGGCTATAAAATATGGGTTGTTTACTGAATTGCAAATGAACAAAGTTCACTAAGAACAATCTCCAAAGGATATAGAAATCACCACCCTAGAAATACTATGCTTGATATATAACTAAAAATGTTCACCATTATAAGATATCCACCTATAAGATACAAAACTTTTAGAATAATCCAAAAGATTATTTAAGGATAAACAAAACTCTAATCTACTTAGTACAAAGTAATCACTGAAATTAAATAAGATTAGAAAATCCCTCCAAGCATGGGAACACTTAAGGGTTGCTATTTTGGGTTGCCGAATTAATAAGATTGCCTTCAATTTTGTCTTGCTGATATGGTACTTTTAAATCATAAGATTTGTATGTGAACACAATAAGTTACAATATGAATGTAATTAGCTACCCATTTACTCGTGCAAGTACAGCCTTTTCATATTGAAAACATGCTTAATATATGGTGTCTAGGTTCATCCATGAATCTAGCCATATTCACATATATCTTTATGCTCTCTTTTTTCATATAGTGTGAACACAACCTCCCTAGTCTAGCTCACATGACCTTTTTATTTGTTTAGCGGATTAGGACCAAGGATAGGCCCTCTTTAGCTTTAGATAAGTCTTTTTTAGTCTTGGCCCACATTATAAATGTGAAAACATTCAGATGTTAATCTTTTCTAGTTGAAAAAGACTTGTCCTTAAATTTGAATTAGTCTCTTCTTGATAGTAAGAGGATAAATCAATAACATTGAAGGTAGAAGATACTTTTTATGTCTTGGGTAACTCTACCTTATAGGTATTTTCTCTCATGTTGTAATACCTTAAAATAGGTCATCTACTTTGGGTTAAAGCTTGCCAAATTTCCCTTATGGGAACCTATCCTTTCGTAAGTACATTTATACTATGTCACTTTTTTTAAACTTCATATACTGTTGATGCGTGTTGAGTGCCTTCTTATACTTCTTATTTTGTTACAAGATTCTAGCTGTCACTTGTTCATATAGCCACTTAATACCCTTGGCTTTTTCTTCTGTATCGCCACTAAAAGGTTAATTAGTAGGAAAATGGATTAAATCTAAATGGCTTATTGGATTCTTACCAAACACCTCATCAA